AAAAAAAATTCATTAGTAGATGTGGCTTCTGTTTTCTTTCTTTTTTTTTTTTTTTTTTTTTTCAGAATCATTCCTGAAATAGTTGAATTGTAACAGAAAGGACTGGCTGAGACTGGAAAAATGTAACATCATTCATCTGATGGTTTTTATGAACCTAGATTATTTCAGGAGAGCTGCAGTCTTTCAGGTTTCATAATCTGAACTGAAACTGAATGCCTGCATGTGACAACCAAATCCTACATTTGGGAACTCAGGATGACACATAGGTCCATAAAATAGTCATTCACTGGCATAAGTACTGCTCTGAGCTCCCTGAGATGGTATCTGGGTATCTTCAGATGCTGAAAAGCCAACTTTGATCTGTCTCATCTTATAACAGAAAGCAATACTTTACATGCAGGGTAAAATTAAAGTAGTATAGTGAATATTCAAGAAGCCAATTTGGGAAAGTTGCTGAAATGTCATGACTATTTCGTCTCAGGAGTCAGGATGGTCTGACATTGCATTAGCTTAAAAATAACAGCTGTCATATGTGACCAAGAAAGCTCTACAAAAATGCCTTTGAAAAACTATTACATACAGTTAAATAGAAAGCATGATTAATGAAGCAGGTGCATTACACAAGGCCCTTATTACTTAAAGCACTTCTGCACTTACACTTTATAAAAGGAGTTTACAAAAAAAAAAAATAGAAGCAATAAAAGAAGAATCTCTAACTCCTCCTTACAGTACTTTAAGATACATTCTTTAAATTACTGGAGATATACAAGATTTTAGTTGAAAGCTGCCTTTAATTTTAAATGAGTCATACATTAAAAATTGATGCAATTCTTTTAAAAGGCCCTTTTAAATACAAATCACGGCATGCATTTCCTTTAGTAGGTAAATGAAGAAGGAAACTGCCGTCAAGTAGTGTGTGGCTATTGCAGGACAGAGGAAAAGACATCAGAAGCTTTCCCAAGAAAATGTCAGTCCTCATGGTGCACCAATGAAAGGTGACAGTATTCTAACATATGCTATTCAAACACTGCTCCCAATGGCAACTTCCTCCCAGCATATCAAAATTCTAAATTGGTTAGCAGGGCTTTCACCATACGTATGAAAAAAATATCCTCAGTGCCTTGGGTTAGTTCTGATCTTTCTAGTATTTCCAAAGTGTTCAGGGCTCAATTTTCACTGGTGTCAACTGAGCAGCATGAGATGAAGAAGAAAGCATCTTTGTCAAATCATTACATATTGAAGTAAATCTACAGGTGGTACAAGGCACTTGATTGCACAGAAGTGCGGAATGGTGATTAGGAGCAGGAGAGGATGTTCTTTTAATTAAATGCAGTAGGAGAACTAAAAAAATATTTAGCTAGACTGCAGCCTAGATCTTCCCTGTCTTTTTATTCAACCAGCAAATCTCCAGAGGCCTTTAAGTGGATAATCTTTTTAGAATGCAGATAATACAATTTACTGAATATCTTTCCTGCAGGACAGCTTTGTCAATATATTTACTATATAATGTATACCTCCTTAGTAGCCTCACTTTAAACAAGTGTCCTCTTTAATCTGTGTTACAACTGAGTCCCCCCTTGCCATGCATAAACAGCTTTGTAAGAACCTATTTTTTTTCAGGCAGCTGATGGCTGCTTTCCAAAGCATTAATTGTCTTTCTGAAAAGGCTTACCGGAGTCAGCACTTAAGAAAACACAGCACCACGATCAGCAGAGGAAAAAAAACTTTCCGAAACTAATTCCTGGAAGGTTCTGGCTGCTTATCTCCAGATATAGCAACACGTCTGCTCTTTTTTATGCCAAATTGTAGGAGCTGTTCTGACAAATCTGGGAACACAGTTTACCTCATCAATTTACTGTGGGTATTTGCTAAATTGCAAACTCAAGGTAGGCAGAGATAAATACAACATCACTCAGGAAGCATTATTTTTGTGTCTCTTAATCACACTGGTTACTTCATGCTGCATATGAGCCTGATTCCAGCAAGACATTCCTCTGACTCTCTTACCCCAGGCTTCTTAAATCTGCAATATCCACTTCTGGTGGAAGGTCTTTAACCATGAAGCTGCCATGCAAAAGGGAGGAATGGAGCTTCACTTCTCTTTATTGAAGAGTCAGCTCCACGCAAAGGATCAGTAATTATGTGGACTTTGCTGCATCTGCAGCAAGCATAGGTTTGGGTTTAGGAAGTGTGTCAGATACACGTGTGTCAGATCCTCCATGAAATAAGACCAGGCAGGTACAAGCAGCTGCAAGACTTTGGAGGGTTCTGCAAAAGGGCTCTGCTCCTTTTGCAGACAAAACACATGCCTTGGCAACCTACATTTCCTCTCCACCCCAACAACTCAGCTGTATGGTCTCAAAATTCACCTGAAAGGAGCATTTAATTCTTTCTATCGTAAACTGAGATTGCTTAATACAGAACGTCAGCGTCCCTCTAAAAAAGAACCAAAGGACACAGATTACATATGAGAACTAATTTTGGAAAGAAAATGGGTTTGAAAAGCCATCACTACATTATTAAACAGACAATGCTACAGGTCTCCTTAATGAGAGCCAGATAAATAATCTTGTACCAATGAAAAGGTCAGTAAGTTACCATTTTGAAGCAGTCTGTCCCTCTGGCATATACCCTAGAAGACCAATTAACAATTCTCTTCACTCCTTCTAAAAGACTGGTAAGAAAGTTAAAGTTGTGTGTTTCTAGAATGTTTAGGCTATTCAGCATGGCATTTTTTCAGTATTTTTCTCTCCTTAGTGTTTTTGCCATACTAGTAATGATGAGGTGCAGGAGACAAAGGGAGTGGGGTGAGCAGGAAATGTATTTGTACCCAAGGTGACAGAGATAAAAGCATATTAATGTTCAACAGCTGGTGGCTGTAACAAGCCCATGAAGCTGATGAGAGGATGACAACGCTATCCTGAGCTTCTTGCCTGTCCATAAATAAGGCCTAGTGGCCATACAATTATTTTTGAAGAAGCACAGAGAAAGCCTTGCAAGCAACGCAAGGATGGGCTGTGGTACTTGGGCTCAGTCTTGGCACTAAGACTGATTAGTTTTAGTCTCTGTGTTTTTATATGAAAACTGTCAGTAAATATATACTTTCTGGAAGATTTTTCCCAGTTGTGTTTTGACAGTTCTTACACAGTCACAGCACTGTGTAAGGAATCAGACCATGTATCTTGTACCCTGCCAGACTGCCATCATAGCTGGACACTTCAGAAGAATCACAATGATCCAACAATGGGCAGGTACCCAAGTCTCCGTGCTTTGTCATGCTGGTTGCAACTGGGTCTGACTATACTTCCTTACATGGTCAGACAGAATCTCCTAATCTGTTTTGTGACAAGATATTGATGAAACCATGTCCTACTCCTAACTTCCAGCAATTAATGTGAAAATTAGGCTGTAACGTACAAGGGTTTACAAGTTTTCTTTCATGGCCTTAAAATTTTTATCATTTCTGCAATAGCTGTTAATGGCTTTTCTATCCACATAGATGCTTAACTCGTTTCTGAATTATTTTAAATTATAGTCCCACACGTTTACAATCTTTTACTTCTGCATTGTATAAAAAACCCCAGCCAACCACCACAAAAAAACCCAACTCAAACCAAAACAAAAACTAACAACTGAAAAATCATCAATCCATTTACTCCCTCAGCATCTTGCCTTATATTTTCACTAACTGACCCTTCCTTGCATGTCATAGGAAGGTGACTACAAGGACTGAGTTACCTTTACCAGATGCTGTTTTACAGCCTTCCATCAAGGTTTCTGCTTTCTCATTAAATTAACTATCCTATTCTTTCAAACAGTAAAGCTTTCTGCCTTTTCAGTTTCTAAAAGGGCAAGCACTAGTGAGTGAAACCAGGGGATGGAGAAAATGGCAGTCTCTCCTACAGAAATGTGCCAAGAGAGAACATGAAGGTGTGGCTGTAGAAAGAGAGAGTGATCTGAGCATGATGTAACTCAGCATCACACCTGGGCCCACTGCTACCTAGAAGGCTCCAAAAGGGACTTTGTGTCCTGCTCCTGGTCCCTGTGGTGAGAAATGATGTAGCTCCACCGAAGCCAGCAGTGTTGCACTGATTTGTATGCCCAGAACAGCTTCCACAAATTAGCACAACACCTACATTCATCTTCTCAGAAGCTCTGGACCATGAACCCTGCACCTTTTGTACTGTTTATAGTCATACAAGACTGGGGGGTTTTGCCTCCTAAAAGGTAGGCACAGCAGGAATGCAGCATAAATACATTAGTGGAGTAAACACCCAAGATGAATTTTCTGAGCATAAATTAGAGAAAAGCTTTGGCATGAGAATGAATGTGAATTAAGTGGTCATGTATAAAATTAAAGGAAATGTTTTAGTCACCAAATCATTGAGTTTCTGGAAAAGCCTCTTCCAGAAAAAAGAAGAAAGCAGGGAACAGTGAAGAGCATCAAGAATGTCAATAAATAGCACTTAATTATTGGGATATATGAAGTGGATCCAGGACAAAATAGAATACAGTAGTGTGGAGAGTCTCTTCCAGCCCTGTATGCCCACAAGAGAAAAAAGCTTAAAACCTACTTGAAATACATTTCCCTCTGATAACAGCTAACAAGTAAAGCTAGATAAAGAGGAGAGGGGAATGGTCAGGTAGACAAGCAATCTTCTGTATTTTTAATCTGTTGCTTCTGTAGGCCATAGTATTGCTGCTGCAGCTGAATTTTTATACAGGTAGAATCTCTGAATATTTGAGTCAACATGTATGGGAGTGTGGAATAACAAATGTTCAAAAGAGGCAACATCCACTAAAGTCAAGAGAAAAACTTTCACTACTTCAGGTATTTAAAGAGGGAATTTACCTTCTCCTCACAAGCTATGATTTCTGTGTCCCACTTTTAAACAACCACTGAAATTAGTGTGTTCATTAGTGCGTTCACATTTTTTCTTCTTCAATTTTGTATGAGAGAAATGTATTCTCATTCCTTCTACTCATCTGTACATCCAATGACTGTACTACCCATAGCAGCTTGCTCTGGGCATTTTACACGGGATAAACAAATGCTGTGGTTTCGTTCGTAGGGAGGCAGAGCTACTCAAAGACAGTGGTCAGTGCTAAATGACTCAGGCTTGAAATGACATGAAATAGGCATATGATTTCTCCTCATGAAAATGCAAACTTAAAGCTTTATTTCCCTACTGTCAAGAGAAAAATCCGTGTTTCAGTTATGCACACAGAAAAGTTAATCAAGGTGCCTGATGAATTTGGTAAAACAGAAATCAGTCAAAATTCTGGGGAGAGCGACAATCCTACTGCAACTCTAATCACATATTCCGGTTCAATGAGGGTTTAAACTATAATGGTTCTTGTAGTGCTAAATACACCTTATCTCTCAAAGTCCAAATCTTAAATCTCAAATCTTATAGTACAAATTCAAAGCAATGCCTCTTGGCATTTTTGAGCCCAGAACCAGTCAGATACTAGTGATTTTCAAAGACTTTATATACTCATTAACTTACTGGGAGCTATGCTTATTAGACCACTGACCTGATTTCATACTTCTAAGCAGACAATTAAACACTTATTTTTATGTACTGAAATGTAGAAGTCATGACCAGGCTTCTTAGATGAGTAAGGAAAATAAAGCTTCTTGTATGAGTAAAGTTTCTTGTGTGAGTCAGGAAAATATGAAGGGGTGTATGTGGTCAGGTGGACAGCCATACAAAAGTTAAGTTGATATCCTGCTGGGTGCATATGCCTTTGGTCACCAAACAGCACCACTTAAGCTGTTTAAGCTATGACCATTAAAAACCATTACTATTAAATAGAGTTCATTGGACTTCACTGGGGTTTCAATGCAGAGGAGAGATTATTAGTCATGTTAAAAACATGCGCCAAAAGCTGTGAAAATATATTTGAGTAGCAGTTTATTTTAAGGATGCATTCATTTAGCACTGAATTTTGATGGCAACCCCATGGAAGCAGATGTGGCAACCACAGTTGTGCAAATGACTCAGTGAGGCTGGTTGATGAAATAAAGCTATACCATACATCAATATGTTTGTATTTTAGGGATTTAATCATCTCACATCAAGCATTAATGAAAACTGCTGCTACAGCACTGCCTTTGTTAAAGAAATAGGAATTTGAATGCTTAAGACCATGTGTATGACACGTAACAGAAGGCAGTAACATGGCAAAGACAGATGAGAGATATTTTTTGTCCCAAAGCTCTCGGGAGGAATTTCAACTTTAATCTGTTTCTATAGACATAAAATGGTCCAGTTCCTCTTCTCATCACTCAGTTCCAACCTGTTGCTTAGAAAGGCTCGAGGAATTTGTGTGTGGGACTACTCCTTGGAACCTATTTGGCTTTTCTGAGGACTGCAGACATGAAAATGTGGGTTGACAATATGCAACTAGTAGCAAGGAAAGGGCATTATCCTGTCTTATCACCGAAAGTGCTCAGCACAGAAACACGTGTGTCATTCAAAGTGACCATAGTACTTGCAAGGAGCAAAAGATCTTACAAATATCTGAGGCTTGGAAGGTGTTGGAAGGCATCTGCATCAATGTACACAAGGTTGTTGGCTTTCTCAATTCTTCTGCAAAGAGGAAATGAAACATCAGAGAAAACATATCAATATATTGTTGTTAAAATTGTGTTTATCCTGTGATGTAGTGGAATTATATGCTGAGATTTTCTTTTTGACAGCAGAAGATCTGCATGATTTCAAAGAGCAGCCTACCACAGACTGGCAGACCCCACCACCTTTTGATACTGGCAGTGATCTGAAGATAAGTTTTAGGTTGACCAGGTAAAAAAACCAGGATAGTTCAATAAGAAGATGGAAAAGACAAAGGCAGATTTCAAATGCTCCTATATCACTATGAATTCTTCTGTGTTTACCTGAACCAAACTGCAAAACCTTTGATATGCCTATAATGAATCTTTATAATTGTCTCCTGTGCATTTAGATTGCTCATTACTTACATTTCATGTAGTTTGGGAAGGTTGGAAAACGCATTTGCTTCTATGACCTCCAAGGCATCATTCTGTGAGATCTCTCTGAAAAATAATTTAGAAGTCAAGATATTTCAAGCCATGGTGAAGCAGAGAATGGACAAGTGAAAAATTCAATAGGAATTTATTTTTTAAACCCAAGCTAGATATCAGATAACAAAACAGACCCCAGAAACACTGCTGAGTACTGCCATGTCAAAAAACAATATTCAGGAGTGGACATCATCTGAGACTGAAGTTTGTATCTGTAGTGGCAGCCCTGCACCTCCTGCTGCCACCATTCCCTGTGCATTAGAAATCAGGCCCCATCCACCATGGGCCTCTGGATCTCTGAAATTACAAAATACTAATAGAAATTTAAGGAAACCTTTCAACTCAGTGAAGAAAATAGGGGATGAAGGTGACTGAAATAAAGACAGCTAAAAAGTTCCCAAGAAATATGACACAACTTCAGGAATAGGACACTGCTGTCTAGACCCAATATGAAGTACAGAGATTAAATCTAAGCCACTAGCAGATGTGCCCTTATTAACAGGAGCTGGAGACCACAGACATGAAGAATTCTTTCACACCTTGGAGAAAAAACTATTTGATCTCATCTGTACAGACTTAATGCCCACTTACAGTCGCAGAACTGCAGAATATAAATGGCCAGTTTACTGTTATCAACGCACTAGAATGCATCTCCTGCTAGTCCAGAGTACACATTTCTTTGCTTCCTTAATCTGCGGGATGGCAAAGAGGGGTCTCAGGCTCTGATGTAATTTAGAGCTCAGGAGCTCTCCTGGTGAACCAAGTGGGCATTACTGCAGTGCAACCTGTCCCAGTTACATCCCTTACGCTGGCACTGACCAGGAAGGTCAAGGTAAAGACAGCTGTGCCAGAAGATTCCCCACTGCTGTTTTTTTAGAAATGGTGCAAAAATGCTATTTTCCCAGGCTGAGGTCAGCTGCAGGAAGTAAAATTTGTAATACAGATGTAATTTAGTGGTGGTGTGATGGGCTCCTGGATTTTAATGGCAAGGTAACTGTGGACATCTTTGGAATGAAACCTTGGATAAATAGTAAGATTGCAAACTGGACGACGCTTGTTCCTGGATATCTTGTTCTTTCAAAATGATGATGGTTGCAAATAGATTCAAATAGGCCTGAGGTAAAACAATAGATTGTAATGTCAAGTGCACAGTCAAAAAATAATCATGAAAATTATTATGAGGATATAAAAAGTATTCTACTCCCTTCTAAGTAACAACTGAACCATACTTGACAAATTACTGGCCCATTTAAGACAAACAAAAACCTTGTAAAAGAAGATAAGCTTTTCATCTGACCTGTTCCATTTTAAAACGTCTCAGTGGTTTAATATTTTAGCTTAATAATATTTTTTTAGTTTAATAAGAAACTTTCCCTCCTATTTCCTCAAGGTTTTTTTTAAGGAAGAAATCCATCTCTCTTCTGCTCCAGGAGCTCTAAACTGATTGAAGAATAAAATAAAAGTACATGAGGACTGATAATAGGTGCTTGGTAGGGTGCAGTGAGACCTGAATTTGTTTAGCAGTGCTGAACCACCCGCTCACATGTGCATATGTTCCTCTTTATTATTTAATTTTCAGCAGCAACAAAATGCTTCAACTGAGAGAGGGATTCCTTCACACCACGTGAGGTACACAGCCATTGCAAGGGATATCTCAAAGACTTTTTATTATCTTCCTGTTTTCTTTAAAAATAATGGATTATAAAATATTTGTAAAAATATCTAGAAGAATACAATAGAAGCATTCATCCCCTACGATGTATTGATATGACAGTACACAATTCACTTGCCTAACTACAGTCTAGAAGATGTAACAACATGGCAGGTGTCTCACACTTTTAAGAATTGGTTTGGTTTTGCTTGTGCTCTTTTTGGGTGGTTAGCAGTATGTTTGCCATTCCCCACAATCCAAAAAATCAGTTGTCTTGAAAAAAAAGAAAACCATCAGAAAAAGTAGAACATTTAATGCTAACAAATTCATTTAGCCAGAAGAGATTTCACGCCACTAAGCAGTTCAGGGAAAAATGTTGCAGATTTGTTGGCCTTATACAGGGAAAAAAAGGTTATTAAGAAACCATAATACAGCAGTGACCTCACCCAGCAGATAGTGCTGTTGAGGGTAATAATTTTTTATGATCCAATCTGCTATCTAACTTTGGAACAACTTGGATGACATATCTCTTTTAATGGACTGCTTAAAAATGAATGTTTCTGTATCAGGAGAGTGTGTTGGCTTCCTAAGAGTTGGACAGGTTATTGGCTTTGTTTCTGTTCAAGAAATGGAAGATACAGATCTGATTAAGGTAGGGCACAAGCAGGCCATGACACTTTGGAAGGCTCGGAGGATGCATGGTTAAGGAAAAGAATGAAGAGAGTTAGGAAGATAGGAACCTCTAAACTGTTTTTGAAGGATAAGGTTTTTTAAATATTAAGTTTTTTAAAGATTAGATTTAAACAGAATTAAATAGCACTCCCATGTGGGGGCTGTTTCAGAGATTTGGTAAATGACTTGGCTTTCATTCATTCACAGTTACAAAGGTGAGAGTTTGGGGTTTTTTTTAACAGGTAATGAAAATACATCCATTTACAATGACTTTTTTTGTCTTCCACCTCAAGCAAATCACTGCTGTAGCTGCTGAGGTTCTCAAGATCAGTAAAAGGAACAAAAGGGAAACTTGTCAATGGCAGAAGGCAGTGACTCTTCTGGTGTTGGCCTTCATTCTTTGTGTTCAGGGAATTGCAGGGATGAAGGAAAAGGACAAGACTCTCTGCCCCCTGCAATGAACTGTGCACCCTCTTCTACACTCTTCCTAGGAAATCCTGTTGGTGATGACCTTACTCATCATCTTTCTTTGCAGATGAATCCCAGTTTACAGCAGTAAAGTGCTGTTTTCTGAGAGAAGGCCATTGCTATTCCTGTCCTTTTGGCTGCACATATATCTGCCAAGGCTGTCATTCAGGTGAGAAGGATAAATAAAATAAAACCATTCTGTTTAGGAGATCAGTCATACACTGTGGACAACAGGTAACACTAATCTGGGTTTTGGTTGCACAATTTGCATGAACAATTTATTCATACCTGGCAAAAAATGCCCATCTGCTCATGGAAAACCCAAAGAACACCATCTTGGAAACAGGTATCTATGGCACTAAGAGTACAAACCACTGCTGCTCACATCAAACAGCCAACTCAGCAGACTCAGATCCTCTGCAGAGGAGAACAAATAATACCTGTGGCAGCAGCTACAAAGAGAAAAAAAGGGATTGCTGTCTAGTGTTTGAGCAAGTGATTTGTCTTACAGTATAAATACACACAAACAGATGATTGCTCATAATGTATGTCTTATTATATGCCATCAAGAGAGAAGATAGGACTGTTATTATGTTGTTTGTTTGTAATGAATGATACTATTAGCTCTACTGCTAGCTATCGCAGGAAATCCAGCCGGCAATTTGAGCATCATTTCTGATACAGGCAAGCCTTTGAATGGATGGTATGCAAAACAATCAGGGGCAATTTCTCAAAAAAACCCAAATCTCCAAACCACCCAGTGGTTGCAAAGTGCTTAGGCGTCTGCCTGAGCTTAGTTTTCACTGCATCCACAGTCATATTGATATCAACAGTGATCCTTGAAAGCATAAATTGTTTACTCAAACACAGCCTAAAAGACAAAAAAGTATTCAGTAAAAACATTTTACAAAGGCACAAAGGACAATTGTTTTTATTTTTCTGCAAAGAGGATGTAGGGCTAAGATGTGATATCACACAGACTAAGGGATGTCCCCTAGCTCACCACTAAAGTAGCAAACTGGAACCATTGTTACCTATTCACCAGCACCTGACTGCAGTGTAGCATTTCCGTGTGACAGCCAGAGCCTCTGACAGCAGGGAGAGAGATGGAAAATTGTTTAACCTGCCTGCAAATCTGCCATAAGGCTGGGCTGGGCATGCATTTTCATGACATCTCTGACAGAGTCCTGTGTGACACATAGGAAGTACTCTTCTTCAAACCAGCTGCACTCAGAGCATGACCCATAAAAATCAAGTTACATTGAAATGGCCTTTTAAACAATCCTGTTAGTGAGGAACTTATAGTTCCTGGCAGTTTCTTTGTAGTCCACTAAAGACAAAGTCTCTTAGACTAATCAAAGTCTTACAGCAAAAGCAAGACTGTATTAAACTCACAAACTAATGATCTTGGAGCCAGGTGTTCTTATATTTCAAAGTAAGGAAAGAATAAAAGACGGGAAATTTATGTCTTTTTTGATAAGAATTCATTTCAGGATCAGAGCAGACCATACAGACAAAGTCATTTTTTTCCCTTCTAGGAAACATGTCTATTTTAAAAAATGTGTGTATCTATGTGTGTGTATGAACACATACAGAAGGTTAACGTAGATGAGTAAGTGGTAACTTGTGTCAAAAGTGACATGGCACATGATGTGAAGGAGGGATATCCCCTCTCCAGCCACAAGGCCCTACTCTGTAGTGCTGGAAGTGACCCACTCTCTATAAACTTCTGTAGTCTTCCTCACACTCCCTTCCAGAGCAGGTACATACATGGGCTAAATAGCTGACCTGTTCACCTTATATTTCCTGTGATACATTATAATTGTGTCTTTTGGCCTTTTAACCTCACCCTTTGAGGCAGTTTCTTGTGGCATAACTATCCCGTGGTTTCCTGTGAACGCTTTTTTTCACTCTGTAGGTACCTGCAATCAGCAGTGATACTGGAGGTATCAGATACTGACTCCCAGAGCAGGCAGCCTCCCTGCTCTCTGCACTTTTACAAATCAATAGCATTGTGTTCATTTAAGGGAAAAAGGAAGAAAAAAAAAAGCCAACAATGCTTATTTTTTTCCCCCTTTCCATAAATATAAATACTCTTTAGAGCTATTTACCAGGTCAGTTTTACTCAGTGGTTTGACTGATGCCACAATTTATGTCAAGCTTAAGAAGTAAATAGCAGTAGTGTGGTGTCACCCAGGCAATCCTGCCCAGCATTCACTGG